TCTTTGCTTAGCCCCAGAGCATACACACAACCTCCCAGTTCAGTATTCCCTCTCAAATATTTCACCTAGACTTGGCTGGAACCTTCACCCCTCAAGAAATGTCTCTACTGTACCCCATATCAGTAAATGGAGTCTCAGTAAATGGAGTCTCCACCCAAGAGATGCATTAACAACTCATTCTTCTCACTTTCTACAACACAACAAGTCTACAAACCGGTCTTCCCACTCAATCATTGTATAATTCTCCAATGACTGCATTCTCATTGCCACCATTTAACCAAATCATCTCATTTATGTCCCTCTCAGTCACTCTATATAGAAATCGCCTTGACTTTATAAAAATGCAAATCAAAATATCCACTGTTCTAAACCTCAATTTTAGTTTAATCTGCAAATAAAACCAAAAATCCATAATACAGAGTACAAAGTCCGATAACCCAGGCCATCACCTCTCCAACATCATTCTGGGCCCCCCTTCTTTGTGATTCATTCAGTTGGTCCACAATTCTGGACATATTTAAATTCCTGAAACTTCTGCTCTTCATGACTTATACTGCATCATCCCTTCCTTCACAACTTTACCTAACTTTTCTCATACTTTAGATTTCCATTAACTATCAAAAAAAAAAAAGCTTCCTTGATGATCCAACATAAAATGAACCAGTTATTCTCTCACAAATCATATGCTTTATTCTCATGACAATTAACAAAACTCTTAACTACACTAACTTAATGGTTTTTGTTTTTAATAATTACATTCATTTTCCACAGCAGACTGTAAGTTGCCTTACTGAAAGCCAGAAGGGATTCCCTTCCCTGGCTTCGGGTTTACACCTCAGCACTATGAAGCGATGGCAGCCACTGCAGCCTGAGTTTCATCCCTGGCCTGAGAGCTGACCCACATGGTGCAACAGAACTCTTCTGATTCACCGGCTCTCCCCTCAGCAGTGTATTTCACTATATTCACCTGTTCTGTCCCATCTGTCTCTAGTGAATCCATTCTCTCCCCTACACCTCTGGCCTGCACCCCAGCTCTTGTAATACATGAATAAATCTCAAAAAGAAAAAGCCAGAGAAATAAGTTTTGTTCTCCACTGTAAAAATGGTATTTAGTACAGAGCCTGATACAAAAGCACTCAATAAGTAATTACATAGTAGTACTTGCTTCCTCTGCTCTTTGTCTTTTTACAAAATTTAGCATGCAAATTACTAGGAATTCAGATAATTTCTGCAAATGAGATATCATACTTAAATCCATCATTTCCCTACTGATTTATATCACAAAATCAGAGGTATTGTACTACCTTCCTGTAACACTAACAATTAGTTAACACTTAATCTAAATTCATTACTCTAAGCAGTTAACTCTCTTTCAGAGTTAACTGCTACTTTTACAGAACTCTGTAGTAAATGTCTTTCTTTGAATTACTGGCAATGCCAATAACCCCAATGATCTGTTGTTACCCAGCAAATCATACTCAAAATGGCTATTCTTACCGAGCTTCCCTAAGCCTCATGATTAGATTAGCTCAATTAATTATCCATGGTGTCCCAGTCTCTGTGCCCTCCATTTACTAAAGTCCACTTTGTAGAAGACAATATTTTTTTTAAAAGCCCCCTTCTCGAGAACCAACTTCTTCTCATTATTGATCAATATAAATTCCTATGACCAGTATGGAAGGACAGCAAAGGCATGTAATCAAAAAAAAAAAAAAAAAACTAGTCCTGTATTTTAATTAAAAACTTGGAAAGTGACATTGAAAATTACATGTGCTAAAATTTTCAAGCTAAAATTTACATATTGCTCTACCTCAACTCTATAGCCCAAAGTTGGATCTGGTTAGCACACACTCCAGAAACAAAACTGCTTTTGGGGAAAAAAACATAAAAATGTCCCACTGTGATATCAGTCCTGTAAACTTTGAGCAGGAACTAAAAAGGTGCAAATTGTCAGCACTTTCAAATATATGTACTTAAGGAGAAAAACACTGGACACAGATTGATACAAAGCATGAATTTCCAAGAGTAAACATTCCAACAGTTGAGTTTTAACATACACCATTAAGCATATCCCAGAGAATCCATGTCTTTTCTTAAACTTAATATACATATGAAGTATAAAACTGCATATACAGACAATATACATATAGAGACAAATACACATAGTTGACCCTCATTTGGAGATTCCATATATGTAAATTCATCTACGACTACTTATACTCCCAAAATAATACACTACCCCAAAATCAGTGAAAGGGTCAATAGCAAACCCATACATAGTGGAGAAAATTTTGATTAGGCCAGCTGAGTCAACAAAGTGACACTATGCCTTGTTTCAGCATTCTTGTCTCACACTGTAAACAAGTGTCCTAGTGTCATGTCTGTACTTTTTACTCATGATTTCAATGTTTGATGTGGCCCCAATTATAGTGCCAAAGTACTGCCTAGTCTTTTTACAAGCAAGAAGGCTGATGTCCCTTACAAAGAAAATATGTACATAAATTTCACTTAGACATGAGTTACAGTGCTCCTGGCCACTAATTCAATATTAATGAGTCAACAATATATATTAAGGTGTCTTTAAACAGAAGCACACATAAAACAGGTTCTATGTGAGCTGGTTGACACAACTGGAAGAGTTGTGGAGTACTTCAACCAGTGTTTATACCCTATGAGCAATCGTTCAAGAAAAGAAACAGAAAGAGAATGCCTAATTTATTGAAGACTCAAAGACAATGTAGATATCACTGTATGAGAGATGCCTGTATTTGCACTAGCATGGTAAAAACACCTCAAGGCACAGCATCTACAGAATCTTGTCCAACTTAAAAACACTGACCGACAGCAAAAAAGTGTAAAATTAACTAGTTTGGTTTAGGCCTGACTTAGCTTCTACCTCTTTTCCCACCGAATGGTATACCCATCCCCATATTTAGGTACTGTAAACTCTAAAGGCTTTCCACAAGCACTTGCACTCACCTTATAATCGTGCAAATGTATCTGCCAATGAATGATTTTCACTCTTGAATGTGAATCAGACTTGTGCTAGTTAAACATCTTGTTTAAGTTGCAACATTACTAATTGGGAATGGAGAAGGGATATCATGTATCTGAAATAACGATAAACTGTCAAAATAAAAAATTAAACCTTAAGTTAATTTGGTTGTGTGTGTGTTGTGGAAAGAGAAGAAACACACAAGGGAATAAAGTCTGCGGTTCAGCCTCCTCTCCAGGGAAAACTAGAAGCCAAACCCCAGGAGATGGAGTACTAGATGGGCTAGTTCCATCTTCAAAATGGGTTTCTTCAATGCTGGCTCCTTTTAATGCTTGATTACAGATTTTTCCAAGAGAAATTACAAAGTTAAGGCAAATTTTACTGGAACACTGTAATAGTGACATTAGTGCTTGAAAAGTTTGTGTCTGTTTTATTTTCATTTTCCAACATTACTTTTTATTTAAAATAATTTTCTGGGGGTCGTGAGAGCATATGCTTGAAGCAGCCACAGATTCTACAAATACAAAATCTAGTTTGATGCAATGTCAATATTTTCTATTAAAGGTGTATTTAAGATTTAGTGGAATGAAGTGTAATACTACTCCAATCACTCTTCAAATAGAAACTACATCAATTCAAAGACAAAACTACAGTATGTGAGTTAATAACCCTGTCTCCTTATAACTTACAACTCAATCTAAAGCACATCTTCAAAGTCATCCATAATAAAGAGCTAGAAAATTTTACAGCATATTAAAGTTGTCATTATCAATCACCATACCCTTGTTCTTTTGAGAAGCTAAAAGACCCTCTTCTCCCCTCGCAAGATTCAGGCTCTTAGAATTTCTAGGGACGTTAGCAAAACAAAATTCGTCCCTAAGTTAAAATTTCTTTATTTTTCGGATATTTTATTTTAAAATGTTCCATTTTTTTCCTTGCACTAATTTGCTGCTATTCCCATCATTTCAAAAAACATAAAGTGGAAGCCACATTAATATCTAACAAATAACCAAAACTACATACTCCCTCCGAGATATTTTCTGTTAACCTTGAAAGCGCTGCTTAGCAGCAAATTATTTATTGTTTAAAGTGTTTATTTGTAGAATTTGCAATTAAAGACGCAAAGGTCAGTGAAGCATGCAAAACAAGACAAAGTGTTTTCTACAAACCAACCATACAAGAAACATAGAACTACAGCTTAGGATGTTTTAAAATGGAGTAAACTTTTTTGTAACCACACTTGCAACTGCTGACATAATCTGGTGAAAATAGTGAAGGGCCGAACACGCAACTTCGCAAGTGAAAGTTAACCTGCTCCCATACCACCTCTTAAACTACCAAAGACACATCTTGAGCAGGTATGAATAGCACCTTGTCAGAGAGGGAAGATTCTAAATAACAAAGATCAATGGATTTCAACTTTACAAGCTCCCCAAAAGCAATCTACAAGCCCTACTTAGGGCAAAGTATCACCACCAGTGAGCACTCACAGAAATACATTGTTTTTCAATGGATGATTGAGCAGGAGCAAACCGAGAGGTTCGACTCCTTCGGGGTCTGCAAAGGTCCTGTGCCCCGCAGCGCGGGGTGGAGACTAGGATGTAGAGGCCAACGCACGACACCCGCCCGAGCCACAGCTGGCAGAACAGAGCCTCAATCCAGCTCAATCTGACCCTTTAATGAGTCACTCACTAGCCCAATCATGACACTACATCACTCGCGAAGACGATTTTCTATTTATTTCCTCACGTCAAGGGGGACTAAAAACGATCCAAACTAGTAACGAGAGAACTGTGCTTTGGTCAGAGCTGCCAGCGGCGAGCAAAGCCGGTTCGGGAGCGAAAACCCAGTTACTCTTTAAGATCCCCCGCAGCTTCAGTAAAGCCAGAAGGGGGAAGAAGAATAAAACGAGAGATGGCGAAAAGCGGACGAGCACCCGGGGAAGCCACCGCCACACCCCAACCCTCCCTCACCTGCTTGCCCGAGCCTCCCCGAGCGCCCGTACCTTCGGCCAGCGATTCCTCCAGGGTGACCTGGTAGCGGCCGACCGAGAACACTCGGACGCCCACGGACGAGCTACCGGAGCCGGAGCCGGCCCCGATGCCGCCGGCACTGCCACCCGCCGCTCCGCCGCCGCCACTCTCCGACTTGGGCATTCGAGAGAACTTCTTCATGGTCCCGCTGGCGCGCTGGAGGGCGCGGGGCACGCGCAAGGGCGAGCGAGAGGGTGAGTCCCCCGTCGGGCGAGAGAC